TTTCAGTATGGTAGAATTAATTCAAAAGGCTGCTTTTAAATATGCACAGTAGCACAATTTAATCTTCCATAAAATAAAGATGAAATAAAGCAGTACAAGTAGTCCTTGACTTATGACCATTTGTTTAACAAGCGTTTGAAGTTACAACGGTGCTGAAAAAAGTGACTTACAACCGATCCTTGCACTTACAACTATCACAGCGTCCCTGCAGTTATGTGATCAAAATTTGGGTGCTTGGCAACTGGCATGTATTTATGACGGTTGCAGAGTCCTGGGGTCACGATTGCCATTTGCAACCTTCCCAGGGGGCTTCTAACAAGCAAAATCAATGGGGGAAGCTGGATTCGCTTAATGATTGTGTGATTTGCTTAATGACCATGATTTGCTTAACAACCACAGCAAAAAGGTTGTAAAATCGGGCACAACTCACTTAACAACCACATCGCTTAGCCCCAACTGTGGTCATAAATTGAGAACTATCTGTACAGTACTATAATAATTTTAATTTTAAATGAAACGCAATAATGAAATTTTGTCTTTAGGTTTAACCAAAGTGTGTGTGTATGTGTGTGTGTGTGTAATGCCAAAGTACATGAGGAATTTGACATTTTCTGCATTCTATCCTGTCAGTATTTTTAGCCATGGAGCCTTGTCACTGCTTTTCTCCCATTGCAAAGTCATAAGTTGCTGAACCTCTACAGTTAATGAAGATTGGATTGAAGAGGTTTCACTATGACTTTTTGGCAAGTGGCCTTCATCAATTTTTCCTACTCTATCCATTTTTAGGGTATTGGCAGCATGCATTTCTCTGTCCCCTTTATTAGCAGTCTCAAATAATTCCAATTCTACTTCATGGGTTTGAGATGTTATTACCCCTCATTTAATTCCATATGTATTTGAAAAATACTTGAAAAAGACCCCTGTTAACATAATATATCTTGCAACAATTTTTTGTACTTCTATATGGGCCCACTTTGCATTTCTTTTTAGAATTTAGCATATCTCATTTAATTTTGATAAGCAGCTTAGTTACAGATCTAATAACTGGACTCAGGCTGAAACTGAGCCCTTTTCACAGAAGAAGAGTGGGCATTCCTTACTGGTATAGTTTTAAAAAGAACCTCCATTATATAAAATAAGGACAAATATGACAATGTTCAAACCAAAATAACAGAACATCTAAGAATGTTTTTTCTTTGGACCATATCATTTGCTTATGCTCAGAACACTTACAAAGTAAAGCAATTATCTTGTCTAATTTTTTGCCCATCAGAGATATGTAATCAAATGGGTAAACCTGTGCACCAAAAATGCTATCTATATAATGTTACTTATTATTGGCAGGTATGTTATTAGGACATTGTGTAGCATATTGTGAGGGGAGGGAAGAATGGAAATCAAGGGGCAGTGTAGCCCTCTTGGCTTGTTGGTAAAGGAAGGTCAAACCTTAAAGAGTGTTTGGCATGTTGTCCTCCCAAATACATCATAATAATCTCCCAAGGTCAAATGTATCGGCTGACTCGGAATGAGAATCTAATTTGCCTTTTTTGCATTCCATTTTTAACTTGTCAAAAAAAAATTTTTTTTAAAAAACTTTGTATTATAACACTCACTGAACTAAGCCAGCACCATTTGTTTACATTAAACTGCATGGTTTGGGTTTCTTCCCCACATAGAATGAGGGAAGGGCATGGTTTCTCCCCATGCCGACATCCAGCAATGACTGCTTAAGTGCTTTCTGTGTAGACCTGGCAGAGGCAGTGTAAAAGGGGGAACATAAACTCATATTGCTAAGGTACGATGTCATGGCTTCCTTTCCTCACCAGCCCTCCCAAGACAAGGGTTTTCCTTCTTTGAGGAAAGGGGGTGTGGGTTGTCAGGAAGTGGGTAGCAGATGTAAAAGTGAATTGCAGCTCCCCTTTTGGCGCCTACAATAGGGAACAAATAGGTAGTGTCCAGCTGATTTGGATCAACTGATCCACTTGAAGACAAAGGAAATTTGGTCTGAAAACAAGAAAGAATTATTACTTCAAAAGCAACTGTAACTGTGTTGGTCCATGGGGAACCCCCCCCCCAATCCAGACTCCTTAGATATAGCTTTATTAGGATTATGAAAAATGACTTCAAAAGCTGTGCAAGTTTTTCTGTTCTTCAGAACTCCAAGATGTTACAAAAGGTCTAGAAACTAAGTCCTGAGATGTGCAACTGGCTGAAGTCAGTCCCAAAGGGAAGTTTATGGACCAAATATAGAATCTATCAATGATGATGTAGAATGTTTGGTGTCAGTACGCGAGGCTGCATTTTGTTTCAGAGAGAACATGCTGCAACCCACAAACTCCCTCCTGCTTCCCTCTCTTCCCATATTTCAGTTGGCTGCATCCTCATACAACAGTAAGTGACAGTCCAATTAATGAGCCTTACTTTCAAATAGATCCACCTAGGAAGTTTATCCATACCCCACATCCCCCCACCTTCTAGCTTTTTGAGTTAGTTATACTGTATATAGAACATCTTCTCATGTCTTTTTTGAAATATGGTACTTCAAGAAATTCCAAATATCTGTGTTTGAATTGAGTTGCAGTCAGGGAGCCCTCAATGCTGTATCTTCCAGAGCGAAGCCTTCCTCCTGCCAACCCAACCCTCTCTATCAAGGGAGCAGACACAGCATATCATGCATTCTCTTGCAGCCCTAGGTGAATTGGGCTGCTAAACGACTCTGGACAGCTTACAATTGAAAGCCAAGAAATAAACACAGCCAACCAAAAGAGCAGAATGCCAAAACCAGACCCAAAGAGGGTTCCCCAATCCTGGGGCAGTTGCCTTCTGCCAGCTCATCCAGAGACCCAGCAGGGAGGACTGGGCCCAGGCTGTAGGACCACAGCAGCACTCAGAGAGAGAACAGATGTATGCATAGGGGAAGAAGTGGCTGCTTATCAAAAGAGCTAAAATGACATCACATCTGAGTGGCTGGGCAGCAAGGACCAGCCTTGAAATGCCTCTTCCACCTAACAGTGCTGTCCAGAAAACAAGGTGAGGGTCTCAGCTTCCCTGGAAGCTATTGCCAGGCTCAAGAGTTTTTGCAGAATACTTTGCCCAAGTCAAGAAGACAGACAAGCTAAAGCCCCTGAAAGGGAGGGGAGGCAGCACGGGATCTTGTTTTGGCCCAACCCTCCTCGTACCAATCAGAGAGAAGGTTAAGGCAGCATGTGGAGTGACAGCTGCTCCCTTCTTGTCATGGTGGGGATTGGGCTCACTTAAAGAACAGGCAGTCCGAGGGGATGCCTTCTTATTGCCAGAACAGCTGCCATCTCTCTACAGAGAGCAACTGGTCTCACTTGAAAAATTCATTTATTTAAAACTTTACAGCCAAAATCTCATACTCAAATCTCAGAAGAGCTTTGTTCTTGTATGAGATCCTGCAGAATATCTGCTATAGTTTTATGTATGTATGTATGTATGAATGAATGAATGAATGAATGAATGAATTTTTGGTTCCCGCATTGTGCAAAAGAAGTTACTGGTTGAGTAATGGACAAAGAGGAAAGCTAAGTGAGTGATCCCCTTGTTGCAACCAGTTGCCCCTGCTCGTCCCCTTCCATTCTCCAGTTCCTGGACAGTACAGTAGGGAGCTCACAGTTCAATATTGCCTGCACAACTCATGAAGATACTGCCCAGATGTTCATTTGGGCTTTTGTTCATGAACTGATTGAGCTAACATATTCAGCCATTCAAGGTAGAAATGACTGCCAGAGTAAGATGATTTTTTTAGCACTTGAATAAAGTTTTTTTTTTTAATCCCCAATATTGAGGATATTCAATCTTACCTACTTGCAATACCACACTATTTGGCTTAAAGTGGCTTTTTTATTAGTGTACCATATTAATTTCATAGGTGTTTCTCATAAAAATAATTCATTCCTGTTCTCCGCCTATCCAAGTCACTGTCCATTATGTTTTCAGAGAAACTGATCCTGCATTAACTCTTTGTCTCAGAGTCGCTAGTTATAAACTGGTAACTGCAGCACCCTTGTGACAAACTCAAGTCTACCAATGCAAATACCACTTTCTTTGGGACAGCTGGAGTGTGGTTAAAAGGTTAAAAATCATGTCAGTTAAAAAAGAGCCCATTCCCCCTCCACCGCCGAAGGCAGGCTGCTCACTTGTCGTTCTTGCCCCATCTTCTTCATTTTACTCATTTCTCAATGCTCCAGAGGACCCAAACAAAACAAAGCAATTTGCTGCTAAAATGTTCTATTACCTCATGTGTTTTAAACAGAGAATCCCTTTCCAAAGGAGTAACATTTCCTTTTTAAGAAGATAATGTTGTGAAAACACTGGGGCGGGGGCTAATAAAGGGAACATTTAAAGCTGTGGTCTAAGCTTAGTCATTGTAAAAACAGTCATTCTGGTGGTGACCTGTCTGGGGGAAAGTTGGCACCTACAGTATTTGTTTCAGTTTCAGAGGCCATCAGTCCAGTCTCTTGTTATATTAAATTGCCCTTTCTTCCTTTCCACAGAAGTTCATACTTACTGATGAGGTGAAACAGGACGTTTAATGGGCTATAAACAAAACCAAACCTAGAAGGTGTTGATGATAAACCCTTTCCATATCACACCAAGAACATTTAATGGGATATATCCATGCATGTCACCAGGAGTTGAACTCAACTTGAAGGGGATTTTTACTTTATACCAGCATATTTTAAAATTAACATGATAGCATGTGGAAAAGACCTTGGGTGATGGGGCAAGAGACACTGCCAAGGGAACAGTCAGATAGAGACAGCATAGCCCACAACTGGATAGTTGCCTCTTGCCCTGCCCACTGTTCACTTGCGGGCTATGCTATCTCTTATTTGACTGTTCCTTTGGCAGTGTCTCTTGGCCCTGTCTCCCAAGGTCTTTCCCACATACCATCACAATTAGAGCAAATGTAAGAAAACTTGTTCTGTATCTTGCAGTGATTTCAACAGAGCTTAGTCAGATCAATAATCATGCCTTTTCTTATGGAGATTCTTGTCCAGGTTTATTGCATTTTATTTTTGTAGGGCTCCTTACAACATATATAAAACAAACACATTCCCCCCCATAAAGAGAACCAGCCACTCCCTTTCCAAGCTGGGAACCTCTCCTTCCCCACTCTCTCATCAGAAAGCCATAGGTTGATGCATCAAGAGGAGCCAATGTTGACTCAACAATCAATCCGGAAAAGCTACCAGCTTACTAGAGAGAGAATTCTTTGGCTGCTTCTTTCACTTTTCCTACTGAGGAGAGAGTTCTTAGCAGTTGTATTTTTAGGTATATATAAGCCTCCTTACCTTTTTTCCAGCTCTGTGGTACAGCTAGATAGTTTTAAATTCTGTTCTCAATGGTCTTTTGGGAAAGAAGACTCTACACAATCTTGAATCAGCATGGAAATAAACATTCTCTGGCAGAAAACCGCAATGCATTTTAAGAGTAAAAATAATAAAAAAGATGCTGTGGCAACCTCCACTGGGTCCTGGCATGCCCACATCAGCCAAAGTATTAACAGCAGGCTTTTTACCATTTCCCCATTACTCTTGGGTCAATTGGAGGCTCCCTGAAGGCTGAATTTTGAACCATGAGGTTCAGCCTTAGCTAAATTACTGTTCAGCCATTTCTTTGTTTAACATGTTCTAGAGGTAACCCTTTGTTTTATAAGTATCAAACATGCAGGAAAGTGAAGCAGAGTTTTTTTGGCAACACAAGGCACTACCACTGGCCCAAGCATTTATGCACTGCAGTCCTAAGGCCATACTGTAGTTTCTCTCTGGCGCATGAAACCAACAGTTCAACTTCACCAGAAAAATACTTCTTAAAAATCCAAGGCAATGGGCTTTTTAAGAAATAGGCTGTCACTCTTAACCACTGCAGATATTGTATGTTTCCAGAGGGCCATAAATGACTTTGAGATTAGACTATTACAATGCACTCTGAGGCTGCAACTGGCCCCTTACCGGTGGATGAAAGTTCCTTTAGCAATATGATACCTGTTTGTAGACCCTACACTGGTTGCCAAGAAGTTTCTGAGTTCAAGTCAAACTTCTGGTATTAATGTATACATGGCTTCAGTAATTTTTACTTTCAGGACCATCCCTTCTGAATAGAATCTGCCGATCTGGTGTGGTCTTCCTGGGAGAATGTTCTAAGTTCCCTCCCGAGGTGAGGTGAGGTGAGGTGAGGAGAGGAGAACAAGAGCCTGCATACAGGCCTTCTCTGTTACTGTCAGCACTCTTTTGAGTTTTAGGAAAATGAGTAAAGCAGTTATTCTGGTGGGTGCTTGAGCTTTCTGACAGCTGGTTTCATATTTATATCTAACATTTTGGTTGTTGTAATTAGCATATTTTTTATCTGGAATTGATTTTATTGTATGTTTTATATCTACTAAAACTACCTAGAGTCTTGAGACAGGGTGATATACAAATCTCTGCAATCATTCAAACGTTATTAAACACTATTATTACAGTAGCACTATTCTAATAATTTTTGTTCAAGCAAAGCTGATGTTTAGAAAATGGTTCTCTGTCTTCCACTTCATGTAAAGCACTGAGAGTAAATTCAAGTAAATTTAAATCTTACCATCACTTATAGACTTGTTGGGCAAAATAAAAACATTAATATAGGTAAAATTTTAAGAAAACATATCTGCTGTTGTCATCTTATTGTAAAACAAACCCTGAGGGTAAAGTAATTTGATAATACATCTAAAAACGTAAGTTTTATCAGGATCAACAGACTCATAATCTTAAGAAGGCACTGAGCAAAGATCTGGATCAAATATGAAGCTTTTTTTGTGAGGAATATTCAAAACTAATGCTCATTTTATATTGTGATACCCTTCAAATAGTAGTTGTTTTTTTAAAAACTTAGAGGTTGTTATTAGGTCACTGAAGGCATCTTCTAACTCAAATACGATCAAAGAAATGGAACCCTTCCCAAACTAAACAGTGATGAATTTTCACTGTTTTCAAAATAAGATCTTACATATTTATAATATTTGATAGCAGCTTTTTATTGGTTATAAAACCTAAGCCCATATACAAAATTAAGAACACATTTAGATGCCTCTTTTGAAGGAACAATTTACTCTATTAACTGAGAGTTAAAAAAATAATAAACACAATACAATTTTAAAACACTTCTGAAAACTTAAAAGTGCAGCAATATACTTTAGCTTGAATATAAAGACCCCATTCCATGGCATAAATGGAAGAAACTCACATATGGGGTTAGAGATTGTATTGCCAATTCCCACTATCTACATCTCCTATCAAAAGCAGCTTTGGAGGGTCTCCTGCCCCTCTAGCACCACTTTCTGGGGACTGTAGATGGAAGGAGGGGGGAGAGAAGAACAGATGAGAAAAAAAAAAACAGCAATTCTCTCAACACAGTTTCAAGTAACTTCTGCTCTTGTGCAGCAGGATAATTAAATCCAGGCCTTCATCCCTTTTATAAAATACAAAATGGTTGAATCTCTATCAAGAGCTATTAAGGTGATAATGAACTGAGAGAAAGGCAAGTTATTGTTCTAAACTGATTTTCCTATGTTTATCTCTAAGTTGATGCACTGAGTGCAAGAAAAAAAAATCATTCTTCACAGTAGTGAAAAATCATCAGTCTTATTTTGAGTGAAGTATCTAAGACAAAAGAATATAGGCATACTGATACTGTTTACAAAGAGGGAGATTTGTTCACATTATTAACTGCATACCTGCTTTGAAGTTCCCAAAACTGACAAAATCTAATTTTGATTTTCTTTTTACTTAGTTTTCAGCAAAAACAGCACAATTTCAGAATTTTAGACTATAATGTTAATAGGATACAGTTACCAAATTAACTTAATGTCTGGGTAAAGAAAAAAGGCACAATGAACTTCAACTCAATGTTATGTGCACAGGAGTTGAAAAGTCTGAGCCACCTTAAAGAGAAACTGTTTTTAAAATTTATAAAATCTATAAATAGAGGCCAAAACACTGTATTAAAACAGATTATCTAGCAAGTAAAAATCTTGCACTTTAAAACACATACTTGTATCCTTCGCGATACAAGATCACTCTTTAAAGTGGCTCTACCTTGGCAGATATAGTAAAAGAATGAACACCTGCAATGTCTTGCTTAATTGTGGAAAAACAGCTGATCAACAAAGCTTTCTTCATGGCATCTGTCCGTATCTTCATCACAGTAAATACAACCCACATCCAATAACTACATTACTTTTACGTTTTGTATCCCTTCACATCAAGGCATTGGGAGGAAAGTACATCCAGTGAACAACAGCAACAATATCAGTTTGTCTGATAGCTTACACAGTTTAAATTTCATGTTTACCCACAGCAATCCTAAATCCTCTGAAGAGCCAGGATGGATAGTTTCCCCATTACTCCCAAGTTACCAGCTCAAGTAAATGTATTCATTGTGAGCTGCACATTTATGCTTATGCTGAATAATAGCAGCTTCCACAAAGCCTCACACAACTAGTATGTATTTTAACTATATGAATAAGTTTATAGACTATTTTTCTATAACTCTTCCAATACTCCAAAAAGAAGCTATTATGGTGCTTCTAAAATAGTTGCTAGTTTGTTGCCAACCACATCATCGTAAGCACTGGTAAGTAAAAAAATAGTTTAAGACTAAATTACAGTAAACATGAAAGCTCCACAGTTTAAACCAATATAAATCAACATTATTCAGTTATAAATTTAAACCCAAAATATATTGACTACTGAAAGATGAAAGCAAGATTCTTGTCAACCAATGCTGATTTGGAATAGCTTTGTTTCTTTAATGCTGGACTCTTGCTTTCAGCTTAAAACAAAAAGTTCAAGTCCATAACAGGTGGTAGCTCAGGTAAAATACCATGCACAGCATTTCATAATTTCAAAAAAAGCAGGAACACACAGGCTGAAGAGTGGTCAAGTACAGCTTGCTGTTCTCAGAAATTAGGTATAATGGTCACCTTTTATTAGTCCAAATACAACGTTCATTCTTCAAGCCCAAGCTTCTAAGGCAGTAATGAACACAATTACTGATATATGTAGTCTGTTTTTAAACCAATTAATTACCAAGTTTTTAAGAAGTTTTTTTTTAATGTCAGTTTCACCAATGAAAATAATTTGACTTGCTTTTCCTTTATTTATTCTTCCACATTAAATATATGAAAATATGTTTGTAGAGGACAACAGTTGAGGCTCAAAAAAATTAAAATAGACTGGGCCTCTCAGAAGTCTTCCAAAATCATACTAAAGAGTCTTGATCCACAACACGCTATTTTCCAAAGAAAGCTATTCTTGTGTGGGAAGCCAATGTGCCACCACAAAAAGATATTCTTAAAACTGTAGACTGCAGTTATCAGCTTGTGGCCTCAGGGGAAAAGGAAAAAAAAGTCAGGGGAAAGGTAGCAGAGACTGTTAAAAAAATTGAACAGTGTACGAGATCATGCATATGCATTTACAGTCCATGTGACAGGTACTTTTGGCAACTGCAATGTGACTGATATACAACTTGCTTTTAGAAGCATCAGACAAAGGGGCATGTGCTTGGAGCCTGTTTTTCCAATGGTAGACATCTGGTTGTATATTTTACTGGTGCAGGGTAGACAAGCTGCATTGTCCTGAACTTAAAAATTAAATTCTTTTGTTTGAAGATTGGCTGTTGGATCAAAATTGTAAGTACCTCCTTGCGTTGCTTCAGGAATGAGGCTGGGGTCCTCATCAATCTGCAAAGAAAGTGCAGCCTGGAGTAATTTTACTTTTCATTATACAAGTAGGAAAACTTGCTTATCTAATATCTGGCCCAACTTCAGTCAGATCTAGGTATTACAGTCACAATGTATCTCTTCAAATGAATATACACACATTGTGTTGAAATGTCCCCATAGCTTTGGGAAAGTTGACAGTTTTCCCTTATGTTAAATAAGTAGTTCTGTGAGAGATATGGAGGAAGGGACATTGTTTCAAGGGATAAACTGAGAAAGAGAAAAGACAAGAGTAAAACAAGTCTGATTTAAAAAAAAAACACCCTATTTTCTATTGAACACATTCTTGCCTTATACACTAGCAAGAAGGCTCGGGTGCTATAAAGACAAGAACTAATATTTATCATCCAGTAACAGACGAGCACAAATCAATAAGAAAGAGGTCTTCTAGCATTACAGGGAGAACATGCAGCATCTCTGTGCATGTGCAAGCTGATGTATCTGTTCCATAGTATTGTTACAGCATTTCAAAGGCTTCTCTTGAAAGACACTAGGAGGACGGGCATCTGATTTGCAAGCAGCACTCACACAGCTCACAATGGCTGGGATTTGCTGCTTTCAGCCATATATTTTACTTCTGCAGATGGCCAGATTACTTGTTCACTGAATGCCTGATTGCTCTAGCCTGATGATCCACTGGATGGAAAGTTAATGTATCTTCAGTGGGAGTGATAGGAAAAGGCTTTGCAAAGCCCTTGACTTTGGCATAGAATACTTATGCAAAACTTTTTATAATCTATATTCTGAAATGTCAGAGATACTTACATCATCACCAGAGAAATACTGATCTATTATCTCAAATGCTAGTTTATAAATATCTTCATTCTCGTGTTGTTGCAGTGCTTCTATTTTTTCTAAACCTGGTAAAGAAAATGAAAATGCAATTAGTTTTACAAATTGTTATCTTTTACGACACTGGTTTTGGTGTATAACCTAAGACTCTTCAAATATTTTGAATGCAAGTTTGGGCATCCTTAGGATCTTGCTGCTTTGGTCAAATGATGCAAGCAGCATCACACTGCAGGCACCACCCCTTTTATGTGCGCATGCAGCATCATGATATGTGTACAAAGGGGTGGGGCTCATGGCATGACACAGCTTCTCTCATTTCGACCCCCCTTCAGACATTGTTGAAAGGCAGTGAGTATGAGGCACCTCTTCAAGTTATTAAAGCAGCCACATCTTTTGCCAGGTTCACATGGTTGCTTCATAAGCTGTCTTTGCATGTGCGTGCAGCCAGAAGCCTCCAACACAGCCATGGAAGCCTAGAAAAAGATGCAGCTGTTTGATTCCAAAAGAGGGGTTCTAGACATGCTCCCATGCATTTCAAAGCACGTCTTTCAACCCTAGCATTAACATCTCAACTTCTATGAAGACTTAAAACAGAAATACTCTATGGAGAGTTTATCATGAAATTTAGGCATTTGGTTCTACTGATATGGCCAATATGAGGAATTATGCTCTGAGATTTATCCAATAATTTCCTGGATTAACAACACAATCATACAGTCTTTACGCAGCTTTTAAATGAGAACTTTTGGCCTGAAGAACAATATACCTGTGGGATATTGTAGGCTTTGAAGGGCCACCTGGCATAGGCCAACCAAGATAGGCCAAAATTTCTGTATCATGTTTCCAAATACTGTTCTCATAAATTGGCCCATCCATGAATCTTTCAGAAAGGGCAAAATACTACAAGCCTGGTCATCACCCAAATTTGATGCTGTATTCTAAACTGAGAGGTGCAACAGAACAAATGGATGAGGATCTACTTTAGAAAGAACTTTACAAGAATCTTAAGTACCTGCAAAATACACAGAACAATGAAGAACTGACAGAAATGTCAGACATGCTGACATCTGAGCAATCCCCCAAGGATTTTCATTCTATTCCAGAAGATCCAAACATCATCAGAAAAAAGTGATCTAACCATGACATGCAAATAAAAAACAAATTAACACAAAAAAACCCATCTCCACTCTCCACTCACAATATTTCTGCCAGAATAAGAATACCAATTAAATATCACAATAAGTCAATTATTGAAGACAGATGTGAGAGCACTGCTGGAGGTGAGGGTCAAAGTCCATGTTACCAAATGAAATCTTACCTCCACTTTCTTCTATAATTTCTGCTATTGTGCTTGCTTCATCACCAGCCATTATTAGGATATTTTTCAGGCCATCCAGAACCACCTGCACTACTTGAGAATCTTTCACTGACAGCAAGTTACAGAATGGTGGGATTACATTCTGCTGTACAAGATATTCAACCTGAGTAATGTAAAAGATATTTAATAATTAGAATTATTTGTGGCATTGCATATACATCATTCTACAAATTCTCCATGAATTTCATAAGATACACACACCTGATCTTTTCTACCACTTATCGTTAAGTTGCTAATTGCCCAGGCAGCTTCCTTCTGAGTGCCAAAGTCACCCTAAATGATATAAAAACGATTTGCATTAGCAACATAACATCTTATGTTAGCTTAACAAAACTTATAAAAATAGGGAAATCTGGCATTTGACTGACCTTAGCCAGTTGGTGAATTATCATAGGGATAAGTCCAGCATCAATTACTGCTTGAACTTGTTGCTGATTTCCTGCAGTAATATTGGACAGGAACCATACAGCTTCCTATAATCAAAACAAAAGTTGCATACTGGTATAACAAATGTTTGTGGAAATGTTCACAGCATGAAGGAACCTTTTATCATCTTTGAAATTTTGGGACCAGATATGTATTGTTATTCAAAAGATTCTTAAAATGAGCATTCAAAGAAAACCAGAATTGTTCCTATTGGGTTTGATGGAGAAAAGATTGGAGAAACAATATGGAACTTTGCTTTTATACATGACCACAGCTGCAAGACTGTCATATGCGCAAAGATGGAAGGATTCACAAATACCTACAGTGGAAAAAACCAGAATTGTTCCTATTGGGTTTGATGGAGAAAAGATTGGAGAAACAATATGGAACTTTGCTTTTATACATGACCACAGCTGCAAGACTGTCATATGCGCAAAGATGGAAGGATTCACAAATACCTACAGTGGAAGAATGGATTATTAAATTAATGGACTTGGCTTAAATGGCGAAGTTAAAAGCGTTGATAAGAGACAATACTGTTTCTAAATTTGTCTCCTCAAGGCAACCCTTCTTAGAGTACGTGCTTGGGTAGGAAAAATGAAGTTTTGATTGTGGGATTTAATGATTAGATGGTTTGTGCTGATAGAAATAATGTGAATTTGGATTAACTAGTGGTAACAGATTAACCTTTTTTA